GAAATTATGACAAGAATGGACACCAAGCAGAATGTATCAGAACATTCTGACAATATTCAGAAAATTCTGACAACAACTCGAAGAAACAGACATTTCCGACAACAACACCACCAACAGTCAGAAATTCCTGACAACAAGACAACAAGACATCAACCCGAAACTATCAAAACATTATTTGCACAATAATCAAGCAAATCTGAAAACAACTTCGAAGAAACAAACAATTCTGACAATAATCAGAAAATTCTGACAACACTTCACAACTATCAGAAAACTTTGAAATTATCAGAACATTCTGACAATAATCAGAAAATATAACACCGACACCAACAACTACTCCAACAAGAAGGAAAATCTCACACAACTCCAACAATAACTATAACAAGGAGAAACATTCTGACAACAATACTGCCAACAATTGTCATAAAACTCTGGCAACAACACTGGCAACAATCATCATCATTTTGTTTATGGTCCATGGATGGCATCAGCAAATGAATGTCAAACCTTTGATGGTGGCCTTGTGGCACTGGTGTCTATCAATGTCTCATAGTGTCTTGATTCCTTTGATTCGCTGTTTTGAACAAGTTGCCTATACACAGTTGGTTTCTTCATGAAAGCAGAGCCTCAAAGGCTACCAATTCCAAAGGCCGGGCTGAAGCAAAAACACTTCCATCTAAAATGTTCATTGCCCAACATGCGTTCTGAAGTATCACCTCAAAAAAATAGCAAACATCATTCCATAATTGCAAATTCATACCTCAAAACGCATACGAGGTACCCACTATCAGAAATTATGATAACCTTTCGCTCGCGAAACTTACTACACTTTCTACGGATTTTCATGAGCACGTTCTTTTTGATGTCCTGGACTCCCAGGGTTATATATATATATATTGTGCATACATAGTATCATAAAATATCATTCAACTCATGTAATTCAATGTAATTCAGAGGTAATTCGCGGAAGCTACCATTGGAGTCGCGGAACCAAAATCCACAAGCCATGTTTTGTGGAAGCTCGCGGAAGCACAACAAAAAGCAAGATGCTCTCGCCGAAGCATCAACCGTTTCCTTTAAAATGTGGGAAAGCAACACTCAGCTGGAATGACAATCCCCAATATTCTTTGTGATATATACTCGTATATATATATATACACCCTCAACTATTAAGGTCTGAAATCGGAAAACCTTGAGGTATGCCGGTCCAAGGGTCTAAGATCATACATGATGCATTGTAGACCTTTGTGCAGATAGCATTACAGACCCCTGTAAGTGTAATATAGCTAGAATAGCCAGGAACATCAGAAAAGATAGATAAAGATAGTATATTATACTGTATATATAAACCAATCATATTCTTGGATGGCAAAAAGGATTTTGATTGCATGACTAGTGAACCCTTCCAGAACCCCGCTTGCATGATTTCATTCCGTTTCGGTTTGGAGCCTGCATGTCCGCAGCATGCCCTCTTACAAAAACGTCTCACAAAAACCGACCCAACATTGTCAGACGTCAGTCAACCCTTAGATATTTCTTAATACTTTTTAACTCAAAAGTTGTTATTCATACATTTCATTACATTTTCCCAAATATTTGTGCTCTTGCATCAAAATATATCAGTATGTAGCTTCACAAGTACTCCATTCCAGACCCTCAACTTCAGTATATCCCCCCTGGGTCTAAAGTGCCGCTGCCATTGAAAGATTTCATTTTTAGAATAGGTGGTCCATCTTAGACCCCCGTCTTAGGGTCTACAATGTTCAATGTAACCAGCAAGGCCCCTCCCAAGCACTTGAGGGTATGGATATGTATATGTATATACATATATATATATATGTAATTTATATATATATATATGTATGTGTGTATATATATATATGATATATATATATATGTTTATATGGTCACACGCGGATATTTGCCCTGCCCTTGGGTTATTTGTTGTTTTTGGCATTTCGCCATGTTCAAAATTTGCATCCATTACAGCACTTTGTGTGCTCAGTGAACATGAAAGTAGCGTATCGCTGTAGTTTTAGCACATTCATATGTCATTTGCATTGGTATTTGCAGCATTTGTTGCTATTTATCATCCGAGGCTCCTGTTCGCTCAAAAGTAGTTTTCTCTCTTGCTCGTTCTGTGTGTCCCAAGTTACATGATTTTTCCCAGCTCTTTGGTCAAGTTGGCATGGTTGCACAAATTGCTTCGCCACACGAAGCCCCAAACATACGATATCAGCTTTTCACCAATGCCACCTCCAGGTCTGTCTTTGACATGGAGAGAAGCAGGCAATGTTTTTTCAAGACTTTGCCACCAACGGTCGACACATTGTGTGCCAGAACATGTTAGTAGCGTGTCAGAAGTTTCAAAAACATGTTATAGTAGCGTGTCAGAAGTCCCAAGAAATTATTAGCCCGAAGTTCCAAGAACATGCTAGAAGCGTGTCAGAAATCCCAAGAACATGGTATAGTAGCGTGTCAGAAGTTCCAAGAACATGTTAGAAGCGTGTCAGACGTTCCAAGAACATGTTAGAAGCGTCGCATCAAGAGCGTGCCAGATGTCCCAAGAACATGCCAGTAGGGTGTCAGAAGATCCAAGAACATTTTAAAGAAGCACGCGGCAAGAACATTATTACACCCGCCCCGCACAAAAACGCCAAGGGCGTTTATCTACGTGCCTCCATCTACATATATATATATATATGGATATTTATATTTATATATGTATATATATTTATATGTAAATATATTTTTATATGTATATATTTATATGTATATATATATATATATATGTATATATTTTTATAATTATATGTATTTATTTTCATATGTGTATATATATATATGTATATATATGTATACACATATATATATGTATTGATATATATATATATTATGTATATATATATTTATGTATTTATATTTCTATGTATATATATATTTATATGTATTTCTATAGGTGTATGTATGTGTATATGTATGTAAATATATGTATATATATAAGGTATTCATTTACTTATGTATATATGTATATATATATATATTTATGTATATATTGAACCACCAACCATAACAAGGAAGATGAACTTATCATGACGTCTCTCACATTTTAGTGGTCACGTTCCCCATTTTATTTACAGCTTGGAATGTTGCCCCCTTTCAGCAATTGTTTTTGTGTCGTTTTGGTTGTTCTTTATGTTGTTGGGCAAATCCCCGAAGCGATGTGCTCACGTGACTTTTCATCCCTTCCCCAGGATATCTTCTTCCTGGACGTTGAAGGGAACTGTGCCTTGGCCCATCTTAACCTTGCACTTGAAAGATGTGTTGCGCCCGACTTCGGGTGCGGAGTCCTGTTTGTAATCTTCATGGTGCAACCTTCCAGCACCATGTTTTCATCACTTTCATCATGTTCAACGTTTTTACTGTAACCCTCGTTTTTTCATCATAAGTGTGAGGTGTTTGTTCGAGTTGCCATTTGGACTCTGAAAGCATTGGCCAACTATGGCCAACTCATTCTACCCTTGGGCCTTGGGCTTTGAGGATTTTCTGGGAGACATCAATTTTTGGACTTTTAGGATTCATGAGTTTACTATATTATATAATGAAATGACAAGAAGAAACATCTCCTGTTGCGAGCGCAACATGGGCAAATTGAGGCAACTTTGGCTTACAGCAGATCCTATAGGTTCATTCTGACCAAAACATGCAGATGTGGACTTAAAAATGTGAAGACTCTCTAGCTGCAGCTATATTATATAAGAGTGGCGGGACAAGATGACTTTTCATCCCTGGAATTCTCTCCGCATTTTCTAATCAAATCCAAGGGCCTGGGGTTGTCGTCCCATAAACTTGGCATTTCACAGCAACCAGATGCGAAGAGTGTAGGCTAAGGGGGTACCACCGCCACTCCAGCAGCCAACTCCGGTTGAAGACTATCACAGCTCCAAGAAATGGTTTTTGAAGGCGACGGATGTTTTAAGATTTTCAAAATATTTGGAGAAATCCTGTAGATGTATTCAGTAATTTTCACTGGAAGTTGCAAACGATTTTTTCGGCCCCATTGTCCCAACGGTGTCAGGCGTCCTGTCAGAACATTTCAGAACGGTTTCGCCAACCAAGGCATTTATTCGGTCTACAAAGAGCTGGACTACGCGACCAACTTCGCGGAAAACGGCGGTGGTGAATGGAAGGAGTCTGGCGACTTGGGTGCAGTTTCATGTGGAAGACCCATGGGGAAACCCGTTCGGAAAAAACATCTACAAATGGTGTTTTTTTTTCACATCTTAAACTGCATGCTTACAGGAGGGTAACAGTTTAACACTGAAAAACTGGGCAGGCTGCTAAGTCTTTTGTGTTTTGTAATCTTGTAGGGCTTTGTAGTTTTTTCTATAGGGATAACGTCCTTTTTTTTCGGTACACGCAGGTATTCCAATGGCTGGAACATGTCCGATTTGTCCCCTTGGTGCGCCATTCCAAGGCTTGGGAGATGCTTTCAGGCTCTGAAACTGGGGCCGGATGGTGCGGGCTATGTTTTCAATACATGTCAACAAGTTTATTTTATTGCTAGATATAATTTATCGTTCTTTATTCTGAAGATATATGTGACGAGTGGTTTCTTGTTGCTTCGTTTTTTTAAAAATTTTTGCCATGAACAGAAAAACAAATTGAAGGCGTTATGAAATTAAAATTGATTCTCAACCCCCAAAGTGGACCATGATGAGACATGTATTATACTGTGTGTGTATCTATCGGATTGGATCGGATCAGATCGGATCGGATCGGATCGGACCGGATCGGACCGGATCGGATCGGATCGGATCGGATCAGATAGATAGATAGATAGGTAGATAGATAGATAGATAGGATTAGATTATATTATATTATATTATATTAGATTAGATTAGATTAGATAGACAGATAGATAGATAGATAGGTAGATAGATATGGGAGTACGTGACAGTCTCGTTTCGTTGGTACTTCTCGCGATGCCGAGGGCGGCG